AAATGAAAAGAACCATCGGATAGCCAAAGCAATATTTAGAAATTCAAAATCCTGTTTATCTAGTAACAATTATGACAAACCGCATACATCGTTGTCATTAGAAAACAAACTAAATGCTTTGAACGGTATATATCCAATAGAGCATTTCGGTTATATTTCGTCTCTCTGCAAGTGACTTTCATCTTTGGAAGTCTGCTCAAAGTCCCGTTGACTGTATATATTATATGTACGAGAATAAGAAAATATCAATAATAATAATAAAAGTTAGAAGGTTTCGTTCAGTTTTGGGGATATCTAATTTGTTTGTACCTGTTCGTTTCGTGCACTTCAAGTTTGATACGCCTATGATAGGCTCAGAATCAAATGGTGACAACATATCGACGGACAAATAACAAACAACAAATGAACGGTTTCCCAACGACTTAGCTTCACATAAATATAATTTTAAAGGACAACAAACAATGACCGTCGTAATTTGTTCCTTACTCGTTTGTTCTTAATTTTAGATGCTCGAAACAATGAGCGTAAGCACTTGTTGACAAACGAATATGTTTCTTTTTGATCACATTCTCACAATTAACACAACAACAACATCAACAACAAAATAGCTTGACACAATGAAAAACATTGAGTTATGTCATAATGCCCTAATGCTACTTAACCTTCAAACATTTTTCTGGCTCAACTAATTTGTTAATCGATTTCATAACACATGTACACATTAAACTCAGAGTACTTCAGATAACGTAAGTTCCTGACAGCATAACTGTCGAGCCGAAAAAGGACAAAAGTGTGTACCAATGGACGATGGGCAAACAATCAGTGATGCCAGTGCACGTTCACAGTCAAATGTACTATTTTGTGTAGTAGCATTGTGAATATGAAATTGATAAGTGAATTAAAGAAATATAAAGATTAGGTTTGTTAATTTGTATACTTCATTTAATACAAAGCATTTCGTATTGTTTGTATGTTGGATAGGTTAGTGGTAACTATAATTCCTATCAGTATCACAGTCATTTATTTATAGATTTTGCTACGGCATTCTGCTAAATGTCAGTTTCGTACCGATGGACACAATCAAACGACATCTGGACAAGTTTAAAATCTTTTTGTTCGGTTTGAAACAAAATGAAACATAATTAGTATATTTACCTTTGATTAGAGGTATTTTTTTTAAACTTGAAAATATGCCCTTCGATTGTGTCTATATGACATATGCGATGCTGAAGCTATAAAAAAACAAGGGTGCCATAGTCACAAAATACGCCCGTTTACGAAAGCTTTAGATGGAGAAGAGGGCATTATGGATAAGTGTTATCTAGCAAGCAAGTTTTTATCCTTGGCACTGTGTTATTAAATGAACCTTAAAACAAATCAGTAGGGAAGATATGCACAGGATGTGTGACCTTGACCTTGGTCGCAGGGACCTGAATTTTATGCACGGCACTCAGCCTCACAATGATGAACATTTGTGCCAAGTTATATTGAAATCCCTCTATGCATTTTCAAACGGGCGTATAAAAGGTACATGTAATTGTAATTTAATAACTAAAAAATTCTGATTTAAGATTTTATTCTAGGGAAATACATTTCATTACAATTCTTAATGTTTGAATGAGCTGAACTGATATTTACTTGAAAATTAAAATATAATTAAATTTCTATGAGAAAGTATTTACATTTGATAAGGTAATTACTGTATGATCTTTATGAACAAATACCAAGTCTACAGAACACCATAGTTATCACAGTTAAGAATCTTGACCAATGAATGAAACATGTGTAAATAAATGTTACATTCTTTAGAACATACTCAAGTCCAAGAAAGAGGATTATTTTATGCCCTTTGATTAAATTCTATTTTTTAGAATTGAAAGTGAAAGTAGATCAAGGGGAGTAATTGTGTAAGTCATTTATGAACAAAGTAATAACTTTGTTGTCGCCCTTTGATTAAATTCTATTTACAAAATCTGGATATTTCATCATCTTTAGTGACCTTGACCTTGTATATATTGACCTAAATTATATGTATCACAGCCATAGTCTTGATAATGACCATTTGTGTTACAATCCTCAATAAATGATGACTAAATGGTCCATATACACATCTTCATATTTTTATCTGAACTTTGACCTCTATGTGTGACCTTGACCTTGGCCGCAAGGACCTGAATCTTGCACGCGACACTCCGCCTCACAATGGTGAACATTTGTGCCAAGTAATATTGAAATCACTCTATACATGTGGAAGTTTTGCTCCGGACAAGCATTTTTCAATGAGCTCTAAGTGTGACCTTGACCTTTGACCTAGAGACCTGGTTTCATGTGCACGACACTGCTCCTCATAGTGGTGAACATTTCTATGAAGTTTCATTAAAATCCCTCAATACATGTAGGAGATATGCTCCGGACAAAATTGGACGCCGCCGCCCGCCCGCCCGCCCGCCAGGGGCGTTTCCATAATACGTCCCGTTTTTTCAAACGGGCGTATAATTACTACTATACAGCCAGTATGTATAGTTTCTACTTACCTATGCGGCCTACAAAAAGTAGGAAATGCGTTGTGTCTTACGAAGTTAACAAATTTATAAACGTAACATATTCATAAACTAGGCTATCAATTTCATATGCACACTACTACCACTACTACTACTACTACTACTACTACACAGAATAGTACATTTGGTTGTTAGTATAATTGTCCTTTCAAATGTATCTTCTAGTAGTCAGTTTACGTACGTATATGATAAAGTAGGTTGTTAACCCATTACGTTATATACACGCCTTTTTTACCCCCCCCCCCCTTTATATTGTCTCAAATGGTGAAAAAAGGGCTTATTTAAGCCCCCAACACTTGTTTTTGTTTGAGAAATGTTCTTAAAAAAGTGACTTCTTTTTCGGCGCGGCCCCCCATCCAAAAGATACATCAGAGGGTTGCCAGAAGGGGGATGTGCCCCTTCTGTTTGGGGGAGGGGGTTGAAGGGGGCGGAGTCCCCCTCATCGCCAGTAAGATTTTGGACTTGTGAGAGGCTATAAATGACCCCAGATTGATCATTAGGTAACGTGTAACCAACGCTGAAAAGCATTTGACTCCAGCTCAATCCATTAAGAAGTTGCAGCACTTTGAAATCAATCTTGATGGAAAAATCAACGCAAAATAGTGATTTTTGGCAATTTTGAGATGTCCCCTCGTTGCAATGGTAACAGAAAATTTAAGCCTGAGCATGTTGTTTCAAGGGCAATGGTCCAGTCAACATTTTTGCCAAGTTTGATTAGTGTTGAAGCAGTTTTTATAGTATTATAGCAATTTGAACTTGTAACTGGAGACTTTTCAATGAAACAGCCATTTTTCACAAAATGCTCATGAAGTAATGGGTTAAGTAAGCACTGACCAAATTAATTTAACACTGGTATAACTGCTAGTTTGATAAATAACTACGTATGTAAACATGTCTTGCATACCCGGGTGTAATTTGCAAAATCAAATGAAGTGTTTATCGAATAGTATAACCGAAATATTCTTTCAGTGATGAACCATTCAATGGATTTTTGTTTCGCCTCTATAGAGTACGGGCGTCATATAGGGGCCACTTCTCTGTCGTCTGTATGTCTGTCCGTCACAAAACATGTCCGGAATATTCCTCAGACACTACAAGCACAATTTCATCCAAATTTTACAGGAATGATAAGTACCAAGACTAGTTGTGCATATTGTCAGCACTTTCTGGTTCAATGATTTTGTCAGGGTTATGGGTGTTGAATAATTTTCATTTTTAAAGTTTGTTCAGGAATATATACACGAAGGTCAAAAATTACAAAACATTTGAACGTTAAACCAGTATCATTTTACTATAATACATGGAAACAATTGTAACAGATGTATTCTATTCTAACATGCTAATTTTGAAATTTATAAACACCATTGAGCATAGAAGTAATTTACTTCGAGTCATTTGGTTTATTCACCAATCGACTAAGGTGATCCTCCCTTATAAGTACTAACATTTCTGTCACCATACACATTTGTATGCCCCCGCAGGGCGGCATACAGTTATCGCACTGTTCGTCCGTCCGTCTGTCGGCACGTCCTTCCTTCCGTCCATCCGGTAAATCATGTTCGCGCTTCATCTCCAAAACTATTGGAGGGATTTCATGGCCACCCGAGCTATAATAGAATAATATTGTCCGTCTTTGACAGGTCAAACTGCTAGTGGGATTTCAATAAAACTTCATAGATTTAAGTGATTAATACTAGTTGTGTATATTGCCAGCACGTTCCGCTCCACTGTACAAAATGACCACTAGAGCTATACAAATAAAATAAAACTAGTTTGGCTTTCACAGGTCTGACTGCTAGGTTGATTTCAATAAAACTATATAGGGGTGATCATTATTGAATATCACTGAACTTGTAGGAATTATATTTATTAAAGGCGGTTAGGCTCATAATTAAATTACATATCTAAAGTAATTTTTTGCCATTCCAAGCTTCCTTTCGGGGGAATAAGTCACTTTTCTGTGACAGATCTTGTTTGGCACAATTTGCAAAAAGTATTTTTAGCTTTTGAATTTATTTTTCATTATTTTGTATACTTTTGATACAGTTTTTATTAAATATAAAAACGTAGCTAGAATAAACGTAGTGGAATAATGTGAAGTGTTTAAGAATAGACGTTTTATTTAATAACGTTAATTTTACGCGCAAAAGTTGGTGTCTCCTAACATCGACGACTGTTATGTCGTTTTCCTATCAACTAAAAAAGCGTAATTAAGCGAAACTTGTCTTGACAAAATTGTTGGCTTATGAATATTTCTATCATTAAGATCGCAGTTTTGCAAATTAAAAAGTCTAATATGTGGCGCATGAATGTTTGTTTGTTCCTTTATAAGCTTGTTTGCATCTATGTTAACATAGCTTTTAACTATTGCAGAACGCTTACGTGCTTAACTGTGGGAAATAAAATAATGCAAAAATCTATATTGCAATTTTATTGCAGAATCGCCTTGATCGAAAGTTGGCAATGTGGAGGAAATGGGAGGAAGAGCAAGCAAATTGGACGAAAGGAATTTCTGGTTTAACTATTACAAAATATGGTCTACTTATTTCCATCACTGAAATTTTGAAAAACTTTCTGTATTCATTTTCACCGGAACAGATTGGCCATTTGTCTGAATTCCTCGACAATGCACGAAACTCTAATTTGAAATTTATAACAGAAAAGGGTAAAACAAGGGGCTCTTGGGAAATGGAAGAAAGTTGTTGTAAATCAGGTCTATGTCAAACAATCCTAGATATGTTATGTGAGAAACAAGCGAACAATTTAAAAAACGTTGTTTGGAGCCCTAACGACAGGACAAGTGTATTGCATTCACGACATAAAAAGATGATGACCTTGCCAAACACACATTTCTTCAATTGGTCCATTCGCGGGGAATTTGACTGCCCATACGAGCGCGTCCGAAGAGGTATTCCTTTGTTAGATGATACACTACAACAAGGAGACGTCGATACATACTACTGGCAAATCGCAAAGATGTACATGTTCCGTGGAAAGGAAACAAATTATGATCCAAATACTGGGCCTGAAGATACAGATGTTGCATTGATTTTCAAGTTGATGAAGAATTGCAAGTTGTTCTCACTAGATGAGGAGTCAAATATAGATAATTCAATTTACGACGATGTATGTATTTGAATTTAAACTATTTCTTTTTTTATTTATTAATTATAATTTAATTGCACAAAAAATGATATGGGTTAAACAATGCATATGGATCGTTAAGCATTAACTTTATTTTGGTACAATATTGTCACAAACACATTCATAACGGCGAAGTTACGTCTATGACATCCTAGACATGCATTTTCATTTTTAAATGCACCAAATAATGTCTTTTAACTTAAGTTCATAATGCGCTAAAATAAAACTTATGTAACCACACCAGCTATCTAGCACCCCTCCTGAGAAATGAAAATCTCAGAAACAGTAACGCTAATGAACTAATGCTGTCTTAAAAAAAACTCATTCCAATGACACTGGTCTTTCACGGTATGTTTGTGTGTAAGTGTGTGTGTGTGTGTGTGTGTGTGTTTTCTGAATTTTCTACGATAAAAGAAAGAATTTTGATTTTAATATTGTTAACTACCCACATTTAGATGGAGATGTACCTCATTCTCCATCATATGGGGTGTATATTTCTCAATTAATAAGATTTGTTAGGGCGTGCAGTCGTGTTGATGATTTTAATGAACGCAATTTATCTATTACTAACAAACTTCTTAAACAAGGTTATCGCTATCATAAATTGCGTACATATTTTACTAAGCTTAACCGTCGTAATTCAGACTTAGTTTTTAAATTCTATTGTAATTTAAAAACTCTTTTGCGCCAAGGTATTGGCAAACCTGACTTATATGGAGATGATGTTTACAAACATCGTAGGATCATGGGTCATAGTAATTTTTATGCCGTCTTCAATAAATTATCAAACGGTTTATTAAAAGAGGTTTTGACCCTACTATTTTAAGGCATACCGCATGCTTGGTGTTCAACCCTTTTACAGTTGGACGCTACGCTTTCCTCTTTTGATAACATCTGACGGACAAGTGGGAGACTCTATGATGGACAGGTCTTAAAGCCCTTTGGGACTGAATTGTCTTAATGTTCGTCTTCTACCTTGCTTCGTCGGGCCCTTGAAGGTGATTTTCTTGTTGTTCTGCCTTCCTTTAAGGTATCGAGTACTTTGGTAATGGTCATTAGGCTGTAACTTTTTCTACATACTGACATAATTCTGTATGTGTTTTATTTATTTCGTCTAATGTAACCATGACCATTGTTAGAATTTCACTTGGCTGGGATTAATTTTATATACATTTTCGTATCATTTAGGAACATATTGGGGCTAAGAGTGAGGTTTGGCGCGCCTAAAACCGGTTTAAACTCCCCAGTGGTATAATTCCCTTATGGGCCTCTTTTTGTTTATATTATTTCACATTACATGTCCCGCTCCTTCCGCCCTTGTGTTCACTCCAGGTACATGTACTTCTTTGTAGCCTTCTTGGTGTCCTGCTTGGGTGTGTCCGGGGGTGGCGTCCTGTGAACGTTGCCTTTTTGATCTTTATTCTTGTTATTTTAACTACCACAGACCGTTCCAAAGCAGTACCCCCTTTTATTCTTTCACGTGTTTTTCTTGTCTGTATTGTTACTTGTTTTTTGATGTTTACATGTTTTGTGATGTTTGTCTTGTTGGATTGTCGTTGATGGTAAGTGTTTTCTCTTCCCCCCCCCCTCTTCCATTCTTTAACCCCCCCCCCACCTTTTCACCTGTACAGTCGTTTTCCCTTTAATTCCCTTATAGGCCCGTTTTTTGTTTATATTATTTCACATTACATGTCCCACCCTTTCGCCCTTGTGTCCACTCCAGGTATTTGTTTGATGCCTTCTGGGTGTCCTTCTTGGGTGTGTCCGGGGGCAGCGTCCTGTAACGTTACCTTTGCATTGTTGATCTTTATTCTTGTTATCTTAATTTCTGACTTAGATATTCAGTCTAATACTCGAAGAACTTGAGACTGTAATACTTCTAATTTCTTCTATTCAGATGTTGGCCATATAATCACTGGTAATTTTGATATAATTACAGACAAAAGAATTCGTAACTTATTCTTGAAAGGACCTAAATACAGAATTCCTTCTGAGATTGATTTTAATGCTTATCATAGTCAGATTGCTTAATCTTTAGAGGATTTTTCGGCGACATGGTGTCGCCATGAAAATGCGGATAGTAATGCTCTAGTTACATGGAAACGTAACATCTTTAAAAATATTGATTCACGTATTGATTTTAATCGTGGAAATGAACATCTTTTACCATCTAACCCAAGACTTACTTTAAGACATCTGAAAAAGGAAATTCTAGCATTTCATTCAAAATTTGTTTTGGTGCCACCGGACAAGACGGCTAATAATATTATGATTGTATGACGAACCCATCACATTAACATTTTGCATATGGAACTAAATAGTACTAATGCGTATTCTAAAACGTCTGTCTCCGAAAAAGACATTGTAAACAGTCATATTACTAATATTTCCAATCTTAAAGTCAAAATTAATGAAAAAGAAATCAAAATTCCTATTATGTATTGGATTCCTAAATTGCATACACAACCTTACAGGATTTCAACGAGCGGAAAATTTTATTAAAACAGGGCTACTGCTATCATAAATAACGCAAATATTTTACAAAATATTACAATCATAATTTTGATTTTATTTCAAAATTCAATAGTGATTTTAAAAAACACTTCTGCGACAAGCCAGCCTGGTTTTTATGGCGATGTGATTTACAAACTTCGTAAGATTTTGGGTCATGGTAATTTTTCTGCTGTTTTTACTAAAATCATTAAACGTTTTATTAAAGAGTGTTTGACCGTACTATTTTAAGACATACTGCATACATAGTGTTCAACCCTTTTACACTACGCTTTCCTCTTTTGATTACATCTGACGGACCAAGTTGGAGACTCTATGATGGACAGTTCTTAAGCCCTTTGGGACTGAATTGTCTTAATGTTTGTCTTCTGCCTTGCTTTGTCGGGCCCTTGTATGTGATTTTCTTGTTGTTCTGTCTTCCTTTAGGGCATTGATTACTTTTGTTATGGTCATTTGGTTTAATTCTATATGTTTCTACATGATCATTTTGGTGTTTAACTTATTTAACCTTTTGAAACCATGACCATTGTTAGAATTTAACTTGGCGGGGATTCATTTTATTTGCAGTGACTCGTTAATAGGAATATGGTGGGGCTAAAAGTGAGATTTGGTGCACCAATAACCAGTTTAAACTCCCCATCAGTCATAATTATGCTGCTGACCGTTCCAAAGCGGCGCCCCTCTGTGTTCTTCAGATGTATGACTCTATTGTTTCATACTGATTTAGTGACACTTTTGCTTGTGTCCCTTGTTGTTTTTTCGTCTACGGTAAGTATCTTTCCCGATGCCCTTGTTCTTATTTCTTTAATTTACCCCCTTCCCCGGGTCTCCTGTCCCCTTCCCCTTTGCCTTTGTGGGCGTATTGTTCAGTCATTTATTTGTTTTCTTTGAATTCTTATCAGTTACAAAATATTTATCATTTTAGTGATTAGCCTGTCCGTGCTTACCTAGTGCTCTGTCCTGTTTTTGTTTGGGGTCCACCTGGGCTCCTTGCCACTGGTTCTTGTTGCTGGGTCATGTGGGGGTTGCGTTCATTGAACACCGCCTTTCCTTGTTGATCTTGTTTATCATATTTGGTGCGTGCGTGCGAGTATGTGTTTGTTTTTCTCTCAATAAATATTGAAACTATGTCTCTGCAACACATAATAACATAGACACGTTTATGTAATTTTGTTAATTATTCCTGTGTAGTATCTACATGTGTAACCTTCAGAGTCTTCACCTTTAAGTTTTGACCTTTAGGTTGTATTATCAAATTATTAGTCTTATTGGGCTGATACTGGAAATAGCTTACCCTGCAGCATTTATGTTGTTATGTCGTCGGACCTCGCGGTAGATATTAAGTAAAAGAAGCCACAAGGGATAAGTCATATGATTCAATAAGGTAAGGGAGACTTGAATAACCAAATACTCAACAACACGGTGCTTTTGTTGGTCCTGGATAATCATCTGTGTCAGTACACTAAATAACTTCAATTCAAAGTTCATTAACGCGTAGTTTATCAAGATTCTGACTGACGTGTAGGCCAGGATACATGATTTTGTCAGGATAATTGATACTTTTTGGGTTATCACAGGAACAAATGTTACCTCACTGGTTTCCTGACTTGGGCCTTTTTATCAACACGTCATATTGTATGATATTCTATTGTATGTGTCGTACGTTTTCGACAACGTCTTTCGACCGTTTATAAATCTTGTCGCAGACGTCGTGTGTTCTTTTTAATGGACGATAATTCTTGCGATACACAGTCAAGTCATTGCGCGCTTAGATGTAAGTAACAACAGAAAGCAAAGTTCTTAGAGCACTGGTGAAAGACGATTTTGAAATTTACATGATCATTATATTACGGATATATATGTTTCAGTATCGTTCATAGAACGAATTGTAGTGAAGGAAAAAAAACCCGATCCACTTACACATACTATGTCATGCTACGCTTGTATCTTTAATTCCTGTTTTGTACTGAATGATGATGGTCCATTATGTCTCAGAAGCGAGTATCTTTTTCCATCTGGAATAAGAGTAAACAATGGTTTTATAACGTTGAAGTAACGATTTTAGAGAATGTCAGATGCTTAAAACTTGAACAAGTAGCTGTGAGTGTGAATTATTTGTAATAACATTAGCAAAATGTAGACAAAGTTTTATTTGACTTTCATAAAAAATACTAAATAACTGCCAACGAACTAAAACGCTAAAAATTAACAGAAGCGAAACATTGTTTAAGTTAATGAGATTACTAATCATTGTTTGAAATTAAACAGTACAACAAAAAAACTAAAGCTTTTACAAAATTAAAACACTTCTGGTCCTTTTGGAAGATTTTATGCCCGTTAGAAATAATTATAGAAACATTTTTAAGAATCACCAAACGGTATTTTTTTAAGTAGTGTAAATTTAAAGCTTGCTCTCAATTCTGTTTGTCTTTTTTTATAAAAATTACTTAAACTTAACCAATTTTATCACATAAACCGCGGCGCAGGAGTGTAATAAAGCCATTCAATAAAAACGATATTACACTAGTGTAATAACACCTTGACGTGACGTCATTTGCGCTATATAGAAATATAGCGTTAAAGCGAGCTAGAGGCTCGCATAATATGATTTTATTCAACTCGTTCAATAAATTTAGTATGGAACTACACTCATTCAATATCCTCTATTTAACGAGATAAGGTGCATAGTACCCGCAATTGAGCAAGGTACCCACAGTATATCAAAACTAAGAAAGCCCCTGAATTCTGGTTTTCGAGAACATTCGAGTATAGTCAGTTGTTATAGTATTTTCTGAGGAATAGGGTACCAACTCGATGATAAAAACAAGTGACTAACTAGTCCTCTGTTATTGTCGTTGTTTGAAATTTAAAATATAATTTTATAATAAAAATTATGTTATAGGATTGACATACTTTTTATGCTTTTTCGATTGAATCACACTGCTTTTTGCTATTCCAATTTCTAATTTATATGAACTATTTCACTTTAGTGTTCAGCCACTACAACCTATTTAATAATTGTCGCCTTGTTTATTTATATAAACGGAATATGACAGTAAGGGCATATTTGCTCTAAATGTACGATATTTGAGACATTTTTAGCTCACCTGAGCATATGCTAAGGGTGAGCTATTAGGATCACTCTTCGTCCGTCGTCTGTCGTCCGTTGTCCGTTCACACTTTTAATACGACATCTCCTCTGAAACCAAAGGGCAGATCATAATGAAACTTCACAGGGATGTTCCTTGTGTGAAGCCTCAACAAAGTTGTTCAAAGAAGTCCATTCCATGCAGAACTTTGGTTGCCATGGCAACCAAAAGAAAAAAAGCTTTAAATATCTTCTTCTAAAAAACCAAAAGAGCTAGAGCTTAGATATTTGGCATCAAACATCTCCAAATGAGTGTCTAACAAGTTTGTTCAAATAAAAGCCCTTGAGTCAAAATTGGCCCCGCCCAAGGGGTTCATTTATTTTCCCTATATGCATATAGTAAAAACTTCTTTTAAAGAACCCAAAGAGCTAAGGCTAAGATATTTAGCATCTAACATCTTCTAATGGGTGTCTACCAAGTTTGTTCCAATAAAAGCCCCGGGGTCAATATTGGCTCTGCAAATGAGGGTCATTGATTTTCCCTATATGCATATTGTAAAAACTTGAAAAAATCTTTTTTTAAAGAACCCACAGAGCTAGAGCTAAGATATTTAGCATGAAACATGTTCTAATGGATGTCTACCAATTTTGTTCAAATAAGAGCCCTGAGGTCAAAATTGGCCCTGCCCCAGGGGGTCATTGATTTTCCTTATGCGTGTATATAGCAAAAACTTAAAAAATATTTTGGAAAAAAAACCAAATAGCTAGAGTTTAGATGACTAAGCATGAAACATCTTCTAGTAAGTGTCTACAAAGTTTGTTCAAATAAAAGCCACGGGGTCAAAATTGGCCCTCCCCGTGGGTTATTGATTTTCCTTATATGTGTATAGCAAAAACTTAAAAATCTTCTTTGAAAAAAACCCGAATAGCTAGAGTTAAGATATTAATCATGAAACATTTTCTAGTAAGTGTCTACAAAGATTGTTCAAATAAAAGCTCTGGGGTCAAAACTGGCCCTGCACAGGGGTGCCATTTTTTTTTTACTATATGTGTAAAGAAAAACTTTAAAAATCTTCTTTTAAAAAACCCAACGAGCTAGACCTTAGATGTTTAGCATGAAACATCTTCTAATGGGTGTCTACCAAGTTTGTTCAAATACAAGCCCTGGGGTTTAAACTGGCCCCGCTCCGGGGGCCTATATACAGGTGAGCGACTTCAGGGCAAGTATGGCCCTCTTGTTATGACAAATATAGCATATTCTTTATCTTTCTTACCTAGGTCCCCTAAATACGATATTGTTTTCAACGGAATACAAAAGACAACGACGTATCGCAGAACGTTGATAAAACTGCCATAACTCTAACGTGCAGTTCACTCAAGTCCATTTTAAAAATATTTAAATAACCCAAAGTTTTAAACAATAACAGGGAGTGTAAGAAGTCTTTTGAACACAAATTGCGTTATGTGCTTTATGTTAGAATTGCTATAATAGATATATACAGCCAAACATATTTTTGTTAGTTACTAGAAGTGAGGAACCTGTTGATGCACAGTGCTGATAGCCGCTTGTCGGACGAAGCTTTGGAGGAATGCTTCGAGCGAATGAAAAGTATACTGAAAGCCGATATGTTTTCCAGCGAACATAGTAAAAAGGCAATAACTGGACTAGAAAAGGTATACGTATATACACTTTGTTATATGAAGGAACCTTGATCAAATGCATAATTATTGGAAAATAAAAGTTCTTTCAAATATTAAAAAATACACGCATTGTTTGATTCACAATTCTCAAGAAAACAAGCGTAAAAAAAAAAAAAAAAAAAAAAAAAAAAAAAAAAAAAAACAATGAAAAAAAACATAATGATCGATTTATTGTTATCATGCCTTTCGTTTGTTTTATTTCTGTATATGCACCTTATTAGTGATTCATTAACATTTGAAACAGTTCAATTGTTTTGCATGAACATTAGCATTCAAATGGGATGGTGTTAAATATGAATACGCTGATTTATGTGATTATTTTCTAAGTAGTTAGTTTCTCTTGAAACAATATAAAAAAACTCACTTCACCAGCTCCACGTATGGTAAAATAATTAAAAAAAACAAAGATCCTTTATGCTTGTAAACATGTCACAATTAACAAAATTAATGATTTTAATGCATCTTTCAAATGCAACCATGATTAGTGTTTGGCGGAAATGTACTTTATAGATAACGTGATTGCCTCCCTTTTCTATAAGCTCGCCATTTGCATATAAAACGATTGATTTATAAATCCATCATGATATAAAGAGTAGATATTTAGGTCATTTTTAATATCATATCTGTATAATTTTAGGACATCCTCTGATGTGTATATATTTCCAATTGTTTTTCAATTACTCACAATTGTTTGTACAAAGGATAGTTCAGGTAAGAGACGATTATGAAATTAAGTTAGAATCGGTATCAAGAAACGTTTTATTTTTATTAGCCAATCAAAATCATTGTCTTTTTTCACTGCTTCAACAGTATAAATAGAGCGTGCGCAGCTCAAAATAATCAGTTTTGTTTCGTCCGTGACGCAGATCAGAGCAGTATTATTGGCTCCGCGCCGAAGCGCGGCGCCCTTATGGAATGAAATCAGATTTTGTGAAAGGGCGACAGCAACTTCTCGAGCCTTATAGTCGGTCATGATAAAAGCCGATCATTCCGATTGGTATGAGGGTGCTTGATTAAAAAAATGTCTCGATATGTACTGCAGAATTTCGCAATGCATGAAATAACCTTTTCCGTCTCTTCGGGGTTTTTTTATTCATCATTTTGTAGTACACAGTGGGTTATTAAGGTATGTTAAAATAGAATGATGAGTTGATGACCTAAACATTCCGAAAATCTATTTATAGAGGGATGTACTGCTATCGGTAATTCCCAGTCTCTCCCGGTCTATTTTGACCGGGATCGAATAGTATCACACGTGTATTGTCCGGTCTCTCCCGGTTTTGGAGTAGATGTTTGGTATTGTCACAGAACAGAACAGATATTTTACAGATAAATAAGCTTTTTTTCCAAAAATGAATGTTTGTCACTTAGTTTGGTTACAATAATTAATAAACATAGATCAACTCTCAAATTTATTGATTATTATTATACATAAACATACAATTCGAACAAAGCCCAACAACAACAACAATAGCATGTTTCATTTTATCTATATGAGATAAAAACAATAAATATGTACAATAATTGAGAAAAAGATACATTGTTATGGTATAAATATGACACTATCAACTTTGAAACATTTTATTTAATTTGTTATTCGTGTTTAGTAAAGATGCCCAGGAATTATTCAAAGGTACAAATTAGATTTTATGAATTATTCAATTGATTGATAATTTTAAAAAATGATAAAGAAAAATACAAATGTACATGTACATGGTTTAAGAATAAGCAATATTATATATTGAAAGATTAAGCATAATTTACTGACTTTTTCCAGTTAAGTTTTGACTTATAACCGTCGGTCAATATAACAACAGAATTCTTAAAATTTATTTTACAATTTTAATAAAAAAAGAGTAGTAAACGTGAAAACTCAGTATTAAAATAGCACATAAAACACGAAAAAAGAGAGGAAAACAATATTAATAAAATCTGTTTTTTTATATTAAAATAGATATTACAATTATTGTATACATTTGTAATAAACAATTATGCTCAACATGATCAACATGGTAATATAACCAGTGTCATATTTTTACTAAGTGTGAACAGATACCTTAAGAGGGGGTCTTCGCTAAAAGCGATAACATAATAAGAGACAATTCCACAAGTGTGGTGTTGATCATGCGTTACACATATGGATTATAAATGAGTGTATACATGTATATCCGTTGCTATTAATAACCACGATCATAAAGAAATAACAAGTAATATTCTAATCTCAAGCATGCCATGAACAATGTCTTCCGTCCGTTCATTCTGGTAAAAGCCAATTAACCATTGAAAAGTTTATAAGAATATCTTGTCATCATATGTCTACTAGTTCATCTTCACTTTCTGCATTTCTTGCTTGGACGCCCTTTGATGCTTTGCATCAATGCTTTTCTTGTATTTACTGGTACACAGAAATCTTAGATATCTGGTGCTAAAAATATCTTGCTGTCTGAGATGTTAGTATTTAAGGTAGTCTGAATATGTATGTGTATAGAAGGGAACGACGAAGTAAATACATAATAGAGTACAGAAATCGAAGATATCTGGCACTATGGACGTTTTACTATTTCTGTCAAATCTCTAAGTAAATGTTTAGTTTAAGTATTTTTGGGAAATAAATATTTGAAATATGTTTGGTAATGCCCTTTTAAGGGTCGGATCGTAATGATAGAAACATTTTCTTGTATACAAAAAATCTAACATATCTGGTACAGAAGTGTTCTAGTGTTTCAGTAATACCTCTAGGGCCAACGGTTGATGAGAAATAATATTTTGACTGAAGTTAAAGATTATAGTTACTAGTACACAGACATCTCAGATATCTGGTACTAAAGATGCTATATATTTATATTAGACAAGTGTTTAATGAGGAACTATATTTATATGAATGCTCGAAGTTTCAGAAAGATAGAATATGAGGTTGTTGGAATGTAAATGTAGGGGATGAAGGATAGGTTTAGCTTTCGACTTATATTTGTTTGAGACTTGTTTTTGAGAAAATAAATTGTTTATTTTAGACTATACAATGATTCAAGAAGTAGATTAAGATTGTTATTTTGCAATGAATGATTTTTTTAGTTATTTTCCAATCATAAGGTTAAGTATCCCGAGAAAAAATATATATTTTCATTTAAAAGTGTCAAGAATGTTTGAATTTATTTTGTAGCAATAGAATAATAAACAATCCGCTTGGTACACGCTACATATGTGAAAAATTGAACTACAATAACCACTAGTGTTTGCTCTCCATTTAAGAGTTAATGTGTGGCTGAGGGGTTGCCTTTACTGATTAAGGCATCAAAATGCAGTCCCTGTTGAACTCTGCCTGATCGAAAGAAGCGACTAAATGAGGTTAATTTATTGGAATTTATGCATCTCTAAGCACCGGCAGGTATGGAGATTCTGACGCTTGGTGCTGCCTAAAGGTTGTAGCACCTGCGGTTTGCCCAAATCATCTTTCATGTTTCGGCGCCATCTGACCTTAACTGAAGTAATGCGCCGGAAACCAAACCAGATAATTTTTTAACGAATTCTTACAATTACTGACGATAAATATCTGGAAAATAGTGATTCCTCGGAAGCATTAGTCACAAGAAAATAACATGAAAATTGCAGACACGGTAATATAAAGTACATAATATAAAATACTACAATTCAAATATTGCAACTTAACTTTTAAAAAGGGCACATATATACCAAAAGTAACATTGTTATTATTTCACCTTGACTATTTTGCTAAATGTTGACAAGTTATATTTCCTTTTTAAAATAGTTAGACGAAGAATAAGTAGCTAACTAACTTCTAAAACATAAAAATGGAAACCCCACATTCCAGCGTTAGGTCAGGTCTACGGATGGACAGCGGGGCAACATAACAGCATGTCAGCGTGACGGAGGGGCGGACAAATAGTGACAGCAACGACGTGTATCACTCTTTACAACAGAAAAACATCACTTTTGGACTAGAAAAAAGAGAGTTCCGTTATTTTTATAGGCCTATTGTAAAATAAGGCACTAATTCGATGCCCGTATTTATAATAGGTAGCCGCTACCTGACCGCCGTTCTAGGTCCGTTTTGTTGAGTACCAATTCAATAAAATGCATATTCCACAAGCATCGATTCACGCGAGATTTGATGATTTACCTTGTTTGAGCCCCATTCTATGAATGATAAAAATTGAAGATATGAAGAAAAAACAGTGCTTAGCAAATCTGAAGTAGTGGAGAACATATTGAGAACGATCATTTTAATATTATTTCGTATTTAAATTGAGTTTTAGCCATTAGAGAAATTTTTAATCTATTATCGTGTTCCTGCTTGTCAGGGTGAGTGCAATGCGATGATAAGCAACGCAGCGGCATTGCAATTTAATCGCGATGAGGGGAATAGAACATAAACATTTTTTATGGTGTTTTTCATTTTTTACTTTTGTTTTTGTTCTTTTTGTTTTAGCGTGAATCGGTGAACCACTGATAAGAGCGTAAATCTCCTTCAGATCCACAGAAATGTTGAAAGCGTACAGGTGTTGTAGTATGAACGTTTCGTTTATCAGACGCAGTTGCGTAAAAATTGCACCGTACTGCGTTCATGTAGGATGTAATATTTCAAACTTAACATTTACAATTAATGAAATAGAGAAATAAGAACCTCTCAAAGAAAGGTCAAATGGAGAATTGAAAATGTTGCGGGCTCGGTTTGATTGAGCCTGTTCATGGACAGAAATGTCAGGTAAAAACTACCGTGCACGCCCCCTATCACCGGCTTAAGCTGAATTCAGCAAATTTTTAATTAAGAAACATCCGCAGATGATTTCATAGCATAGTCCCTTTCTCTTTTGATTCTTACCTGCGAGGCATTTATTTTGCAAGTCATGAACATTTTCGCATTTTGCCGTTTGGAGGGGTTTATGGGTTTCTATTGTTCTCTATTTCAAACTTGCTTTAACTTTTAGTGTGCCAATGCCGGTTCGTCATGAAATATATTGATAAACTTTACACTTCTATCACAAATCTAATTGCACATTCCTTTCAATTATATAGTTAAAAGATATGCGTATCATAATGACTTCGCTGACATTACAACAAGCAGCTTTGATTGAAGAAGCTTTCAACTTACAACAATCTTCAGTGGAATTTGACATACATTTTAAGGGCTCATTGAAAAACGACTACGTTTTAGAAGGTATCCTGAAAGCAAGCCAAGAGAATAGTAGGAAGTACAAAGTATATGCTCAACAGGTAATTGTACATAAGATCTTTAACTGTTGTCATGATGTATGCCAGTAGTTGTGACCCAAAACATAATGGAGTAAAAGCTTTACTTGAACCACTTTGTCGCGTCAGTCAGTCTGTCTCCATCGTGTCCGCCTGATAAATTAAGTACGCCTTGATTTTTTTTAACTTGACTTAATATTCACCATAACAATAACAAATCTTGCCGATGTGCCAGCTGATTGCCAATGTTTCTCTTGAACAATTTTATGCCTGTTTTATAAAACCCTGAAATGTTTTTATCGACTGTTTATCTCAACAAGACGAAGTGAAAACCCAAATACCTCCGCTGTTCTGGCCTAACGTCAAGGTCACCCTTAAATGTTGAATAAATATATATAGAAATACATAACATGCATTCTGCTATTCATACTATACCTACAGCTCAGATATTTTTTGCGTATAGTATCGGCTTAAAGTATTCCACAGAGTTTTTTCTCAATCCCTTTCAACTAGTTCCGACCTCTGGTGTCACTTTATTTATATTGACAAAAATGGGTATTTAAGAATAACTTTATTACTTATTAAATTTTGAGTTTGCATTGTATGGCTCGACAAAATTTTAAAACGTGTGCCCTGTTGGTCAGAATGCATTCACACTTATTTCGCAGTAGTTTAGTAAAATTTAAGTAAAAAAAAAACAAAAAACGATGTGCAGTGAGATAACGTCGGAGTAGCAAACCAGGTTTATATATATTTGTGAAATATTTGATTAATTTGTGACAGATGAATAAAACATCGCACCATGCAATTCCTTTGAAAACTTGTTTTGACCAAACAATGCCTATGTCTTATGTGATTTGTCGGCGCGTAGACATTTTTTAACGCAAACTCACATATTATATCAATATTATTGTATGCTAAGATCTGGGTCGGGGCATGGCGACATATGCATGCATGATAGATATTAACGAGGATCATAAGATAACCTAACTAAATAAACTAAATAATATTCGATAACGTCAAACTGCCTATATCGTTGTAATAATAGAAATATTAAATGCTTTGAACGGTACATGTCTGAAAGAACATTTATATATACAGTTCATCACTCTGTTAACCTATATGTGTCCACTTTTATCTTAGAAATTTATTTAAAGTGCACATAGATTGATGCCTATTTGCTTTGCATTTTTTGTCTCTCTGTTAGTTAAACAAGATAAATGTATGTGTTTGCAGAACAGGCAAATCATACACGTTTTATTGTGGTGGACATGTAGATTCTGGAAAGCTTCAAACGGACATTTCAGATTACATCAAAATGCATTCTATTTTCATAATGCATATGTTACTGTAAAGTATGTAAAAAGCTATTGAGAGAACCCTTTGGTAAACTACAAAATGTACATTCCTATTTCCTTCAATACTTTATATCTACAACAACGCATTATAAAAGTATATCTGTAAGTTAACTTGACCCTCTGCCCAAGCCCACTTTAACACAAAAATGAAATCATTTACTAATTATATAGCGTTGAAAAACATGAACGCAATAAATTAAGTTCTCAAACACATTTTTTAATTGACACCATGAGTTGACAAAAGCAAATTAAAATGAATGTTACTGACTTTCATCTTTTTTTTTTGAGTTTTAGTTACTTACAAAAAAAGTATAGAGATTACACATTACATCGTTGTTGCCAATAATATTTTAATATAGTTTTGAACAATGAATAACTTGATAATATTGGATAGTAAATGTCTCTGATTTAATCACTTTTATACATGTATATACAAAAAAGAATGTCATCTATTGAATGTCTCTGACATTTTTCTGCTCTCCCCGTGTTTTTTGAACATACAATTACACACAGAGATGTAATGATATGTAATACATTTGAAAAAAAATGTTTTCATTGTAAGTTAAATGTAAGCACCGAATCATAAGTGATAAAGCTAATATGCAAATGTTTGCAAGGAAATAGGGACTTTGGTCTAATATTCGTAATTTGATGATCGTTTTGCCTATTTATTATCATGATAAGTCAAAACAAGGTTCGAGTAAGGAAATACATTCTTGTTGCTCATGCTTCAAAATTGGTATGATATAAAATCAAACGATCGAGCGACCAAAATTTCAAAATACAAAATATATTAAGTGTCTTAGGTGAATCCAGTATTATCAGGTTTAAGCTAACATTTAAAATACATAGGAAATACTTCATAAAAAATGCTTTAACTTTATTTCATTATGCATTATTAGTAAATTAAATGAAAGCCCAAATTTTAATATTCTTAGACACTGTTAATAGAAAACTCGACATTTCGTAGCCAATATTTAATTTGTTGATCACTTGTTTTGATTATTTCCTTTATAAAACTATTATTATTCCTTGAAATTAATTCATTGTCTTTCATTGATAATTATATATGGATGATGTATGTATACAAAAAACAAAAAGTTTAGTCAGTATTTTGTTATTGCGATATCTACTACACGCTGTAAAATAGCAATTTATACTAGCATGTGTAATCATGCTGAGCGCCTGGTTATTTGGTTATTTTATTGTGTACTATTGCAATGTGCATGCTGTTCACACAGACGTCAAATAGCACGTGAACCACATGTTTGCACAGCCCAGTGTCATCAAGTTTAATTTTACTAGTGGTACAACGTGTGTTGTCGTATACAAAACTGAATTCTTAAAGAAAAGTTTTAAAACGTTGTCATGGGATGTCGCCCTGACATGACGTTGAACATAAGGCTTATAGCTATCGGTATGCTCAACGGTGGATCAACCGCTAACCACGTCACACATCATTTTCAAGTGCATGAGAGGACAATTTACCGTCTCCAGTCCAGGTTCAGACAATCAAACAGTTTTAAAGATAGACCATGTTCTGGAAGACCGGACAAAACAACGCAACGTGAAGACAGGTACCTTGTGACGTCGTCGCGACGTATCGGTTTTTGACAAGTACTGAACTGTCAAGCAGCTTACATACTGCAACAGGAACTAGAATTTCGTCATGTACCGCTCGTAACCATCTCAGAGCTGCATGATTTCGGTCCAGACGTCCGTTGGTTGAAGTACCGTCATCGCCGTGCGCGTTTGAACTGGGCCCGACAACGTCTCGCTTGGACAAGACAGTAGTGTTTACCGATGAATCAAGATTCAATATGCAGAAAGCTAACGGAAGATTGCGGATATGGAGGCGAAAAGGTGAACGTGTCTCAAACATTGTACAGCGAGATCGGTATGGAGACGGTAGTGTGATTGTATGGGGTGGTATATTATGCTCAGAGACTATACATCTGTTAACAGTCAACGGTAACCTGAATGCTATTGAATACTGTGACAATATCATTTAGCCAGTGGTTATGTCATATATACGTCAGGGTAACGCTGATGCCAAACACCGCTCGGGTAACACGGGACTTCTTGGAGCAAAACAACGTCCGGATGCTCGACTGCCGGCCAGATCTCCGGATTGATCTCAAATAGAGCACCTCTGGGACCATCTTGGCCGCAAGGTTCGTCAAAGTAATGACGTCAACAACCTAAGGGATCTAACGAGCGTTACATGAGGAATGGTTGAACATCCCACTCCAGGTTATCAGACGGTTGATCAACAGCATGAAAAGGCGCTGTTTGGCAGTTATCAACAAAGTCGGAGGACACACCCGCTACTACCAAATTTCGCTTTCGACCTCTAGATGACGAGAATAATGTTTAACTTCTTACAATTGATTAAATTTTGTTATAAATTCACTAAATATACAAATGTAAATTCAAATCAATGATTCTAAAATTTGAACAGTTTAGAACTAAGTTAAAAACACGTATTGAACTAGAACAAATAATAGCGTTGAAAGACGATAATGTAGAAATATTCAATAAAACTTGGCAAACTTTTCTCCCCTTATAAAAGACTCATTTAGCCTGGTGAAAACATTCCCAATCCCAATCATCTATTTTTTATTTTTTGTTATCTCATTTTTTTCACTCATTTTTTTCTCCAATAAAAAGGAGCCAACAATTAGGGTACCACCACAGCCTACTCTTTTAAATCATGATTGGGGCCAAAAAAAAAATAAAATGAAATAAATGTTGTAATATGAATGAAATTGAAGAAGACACGTTACTTTTTTTGAAAAAAAATTTTCTTTTTTATTTCTTTAGAGTTTTAATGCATCAGTCCTATTATCTTTGTCTACTGACTTAACGTTTTGTGTTGAGTTTATTTGCTTGATTTTTGCTAAAATCTCAAGAGAAATTATACAAATGTTATTATGTTACAAAAGGAGATAACAAATGGTCAAGTTGCATTATGTTTGGTCTAGCTATTAGGAAAGCTAAACAATATATATTTGATGATTTATACATTTTTGTACAATTCAAACATGTGTGTCATTTATTTGAAGTTTATCCATGAGCCATTCATGCTAAAAGGAAATTAAGGAGACAATATTAATTATATTTTTCTGTTTACGGATTCTGTTTCTTAAAGTCCGAATATAAGAAGATTCGAAATGTAAAACAAAAGTAACGTACATTATCTAAAATGACTGCTTGAAGATTTATGGAATTATCATATTATATTTTTATTATATAACAAAAATGTTGTTGTTTTTAGTCAAGCGCTACAACACTGGGAGGTGCTGCCACTGGTGCTGCAGTGGGAAGTATTGCCGGGCCCTCTGGAGCTGCTATTGGTTCAGCAGTTGGATGGCTATTTGGAAAACTCGCGGAATAACAGAATTGTTCATTGTGATTTGAAACAAAGACATTAAGAACGCTAATCAACTTTCATTCATCGAAAACTTTAAAACTTCGAGACATTTCATTTTGCAAACTTTTCAATGTATATATTTTAATTTTAAGTCTGATGTCCTTTTGTCTTTGATTAATGAATATTTGTGCATGTACGCGCATGTACATGCACGTACATGTATTGCAAGGAAGTAGTATTTCCCCGCACATGCGCAATCTGCATAGGGCAAAAAAAACATAGTCTAACATAGAAATATAGAAGACGTTCATAGACAATTCCGAGTTAGTTTAAGGTAAAAGGTAGAAAATTATATAAAATAGCTTTAAACAAAAATAGAAAAGATTCCTTTACAGAGATTGCCAAAGAAAGGCATGGAAAAGGAAATTGTTTAAGAATTCCCCCTTACGTCGGGCCCGCTTATGTCACGGACCTGACATTGAGATTTTTTTAAAGAAAAAGTAGAATTATATCTTTTTTTCAAATGGGAGTCAACTAAATTGTTGTTGAAATAGTTTATAAAAAAAGATAAAATAAATTTTATAACATATGAAATAATTAGCATTCTGAAAATAGTCAGAGCAGGCCCGGTGATAATGCATTTTTAGTGTTCAGTTTACCTTATTTTATCCTTTATTTGTCTGTGATGCAAAACAGATAATTTTTAAGTCACATAAATATATTTTAAATACTTTATTTTCCTTCAAAATCTTTAAGGAAAGTGAAATAACACTCATTTTATCCGGTTCATCGTAACACATGTTAATATTTTTTAATGCAAGTCACACTAATTGTCACTTCACAAATCAATAAACATTGATGAGATCGGTATTATATAAAAGTTACTTAAATTACGATTTTCATAATTGTGCTATGTCATGGTTCTAAAACGTCCGGGTTAAATGATATTTATACAATATCTAGCTGGAAACAAACAACCACGGTCGCGTGTCAATCTGTTTGACACTTACCGCCTGGCCAATCCAAAGGAAGTGTACAATACACATTGTGTTATATTATGTAAATACAGGGGTAATAAAATTTAATCTTTAACACCCTGCTGTCTAAATTTAAATTACGGATGAAAAAATCGTCTAATGATACCTAACAGACGTCTTTTGTATGCGCCTTTTGACAATTGGATTATTAGTCCTGCATATTTATTATACCTGTTATGAATATCAATTGACGTTTTAAGTACTTACCGCTTTAAGTCATAAAATTACTGTTTTCTGATTGAGATAACATGGAATCGCGACTATTAAAGCCTGAAAGTATCATACACTGTTGTCAATTTTATTGCGCTTTTGCTCTACGCAGGATGCGCATACGCGAAATGCAACATTGGTTGCTATGGAAGAATCGTATTGTAAAAAGGTCTATAGATTTAGCCGTGTTTACTAAAACGCGCAAGTCAAAAATTATATCACGTTTTGTTATTAGCAACTTTTTACTATCATTGCCTTATTTTTCAAATGTCATTTGTATTTCATCTCTCTGATTATAAGTTATTATAAATGGGATTTGTCTAAGTTTCAATTAATTCACATATATACTCGACAATCTCAGAAGAGAAAATTTTAATGTCATGTCAGAGTAGCTATTTTGTGGATAGATATATATATTATCTCCAAAGCGTTTTGTTGTTTTGTATCGCACAAAACTACTACGAATATAAATATTACAAATTTTGATTATAAACTTATTTGCACAGTTGTATTTAATGACACTTGCTGTTTATATAGGAAAAATAAATAAATCCATTTTGAAGTGTTTCTCACAAATTGTGCTTCATTATTCTAAAATTACATTAAACATATTTGTTTGTAATGTATTTAGAAAACAATGTGCTTGCCGTAATACAAAACGTTAAGTTTCACTATTATATAATAAAGTAAATTGTAGTTCGACTTTACGCATATTCCATTAAGCATTTTGTTTACTTTTTTTTCTAAGATTAGCAGTTATGGTCATAGATACCCTGAAACAAAAAGATTGCTATTAAACATAACAAGGAGCAACAAAATGAGCTTATCTAGCAGTTGACAACTGGCTCCAGACGAAATTATTCATATATATATCATTCATAAAGGCTGATGCTCATGTCGCGAACCTTCAACTGCCTTTAAGAAATGCCTTAAAAGTTAGAACTATCACATTATTACCAAAGTACAGAAATTGTCCAACTGAGTAAATAGATGTAAATTCCGTTTTTTTTCTCTTGCTACTTACTGAAATTTATAGTTTGTTTCTGAAGAAAATAGATGCTGGTGACTTAGTTTCTTTCAAAAGCAATAATTGCTATGAATTCTTTTTTCAACTGGCACATTTGCATTCAAGTCAATTGGGAGGTTTGTAATCAATATATATACAAGACCTAATGCCAATAGCGAGCTTTTTTCTAGCACATTCTTTTTATCTAGTAAAGTGAAGTCTAAAAGCAAACGCTTTTTTTCTATGTAGGTGGTACTGTTAGATATCTAACTTACGTACAGAAGAAAGTGAAGTGCGGGCGTATGTCTTTCTGGCATGGTCTATCTGACATGGCTACTGACAAAGCTCCTGACTTTATGTTGTTGTAAAAGGGGCTCAATGTGTCACGTGCATAGTTTCGTATTTGTTTGTAGGATTAAACATCTAAAATCTTCAACGAGCTTATCATGTAGATGTTAGCTTGCATTGCTTTTTCAAAAGTAAATAGTACTACCCAGTCTGTGATTACATTTACATAAATGATCCTAGGAGGTCTAAGAGGTCCCCCTTACGACAGTATACGGTAATAAGCACTGTTACAGCACTTAACAATTACAATCACGTCTGTTCGTTAACATCGTTAGTATACATACCAGTATTAAGACGCACACATATGAGGATGTTTCAAAATTCCAAAATTTTACCAGTTCATGTCAAATGTTGAATTTTGCTTAAGCTGGTGCTAGGGGGCGTGGATGGTAGTTTGCACTTGACAGTACCGTCAATGAACAGACACAATCAAACCGAACCTGCAACATTTTCAATTTTGCCGTATTGGGCTTTCTATAGGGATTCTTATTTTCACTATTTTATATGATGCAAGATACCACGGATACAATGATTATATGAGTTGCAAAGAACAGTGCCACACTTGTTTGGCAAATTAAATGGATCGGATAAGTAATAGAAAGAGCATCGAAACGCGAGGCTATTTAATAAGTACGAGGGTGCGTAGGCCCCGAGTATTAATCAGATTGCCGAGTGTTTTGATGATCTTTCTTTTTTTATCATAGTCAAACATAAAAATATGGTCCCTGTTGTCACAATATGAAACCCCAGAAAAAAGGAACCAATGATGAGCATCTGAATATGATATTTCTGTCGCTTTCCCTTTCTCTGCCACCACAATAAGTAAACCCGTGCAAAAATAAGCCAATCAATGGACATGCTCTGGAGTGCGGGTAACTAATTTTTCAAAATTAGAATACAGTCGACAGTGTTTTAAGAGATCACTCAAGGGACTGCAAAAAGTGGTATCTTAATAAAGTGGTCTCTCAATAGAATTCTGGAAAATTCGAGACTCGAGGGTTTCGTTTACATACTACAAGTCAATGATACAATAACATCTTTTTATAATAACAAAAACAGTTCAATATTATGTATGTATTAAAGTTTCATAATAACATGTATGCCTTGTTTTAAAAAGTCACCAATATGTGTTTGTTTTTGTTTTTTAGTAGAAATATGTGTACAAATGTGATCTTCGCTCATAATACTATCAAGCAGGTAATTATGGTCATGAAACAAAGCATATTGTCTTATTAGGGGAAGTCAAAAGCCGGGTCCGAAAAGCGGGCCCGGGCTTTCAACCTTTGGCTTGCCCGGCTATAGACTACACGTGTATATTTAAAAGGAATAAAAAAAGCAATTAGAATAATTATATAGAATTCTATACCGACTGTAATTATCCTTGAAGAACGGAGAGAGCGAATGATCTTAAGTTTTGCATTTATGTTTTTTGTCTGAACATACGTACATCAAATCAAATATTAATCTTATTTCAAGTCCGGTCATGGAGTCCCTTTAATTTACAAAAAGTAAATTTATCAAGACAACTAATTACAGGGATATGGGATTGGAAGATGAGAGAGCAAACATTAGGAGATTTTGGAAGAAAGAAAAGGCAGTATCTCAATTGACGAATATTTACACATAACCACAAATACACAATATGTTATATACCCCCCCCCCCCCAACCCACACGTACACTTTTTTGTAATGTAAATTTCCCATAGGCCACTTATTAATACTTTTAATGCAAGTGTACCACCTGACAAAGAAATTTGTACTATTACATAGGTAATAGCACATTTTAACAGTTTTACATCTGGTTATGTGGTTTATGTCCTACCATTGACCATTAATGTCGAAAATTTAACTAAGTCGCTAAACAGGAAATGAATGAGCGACAGACCTGAAATCGAATCCCACGGTACGGGACCACGTGTCAGTGCTGTATACCAAATATCAAGAGTGGGAACGTGTTAAATTCTTAGTGTATTGGTGACACGTGAAAAACAATCCACCCATTTAAGCATCAATCAATGCAAAACGTTACCATTTATTTATACGTTGCATGAAGCCTGCAACAATCTACCCATGCATACACCCATTTACAAATACATACATCCAACAATCAACTCACCCATTTATGCACCCGTCTAAATTTGTATAAGCAATTAAGAAATATCAAAATATCATAATTGTTCTGTGCCATATGTAGGGCCATCGGTATCTTATTCACATTCTTTTCAAATTACATAAAATAATTTTACGGATTTAATTGGCAGTTTTAAAGGCTTTTAAAACGTCTATCCTTAAATGTGTATGATTTGTTACTGTTCAATGCATAACTTTGAGAAAAGTGTTTAAAGTTTACAATAACATTTAAATTTAGATATTCGGTGCGATAACATTTTTCAAGCATAGAGTTACAAATTTATTTTAAACTGACTTAAAAATTATCTTTCTATCAAGATTTTACAGTCCTTGAATGAGGGATAAATAAAATAAAATGTTGACAACAGAGCGTAGATGAATATTTTGGGTTTTTGTATTTTCTGATCGCAGATCAGTAAATACAATCATTATGCTGACATTCAATCTCTGGCACAGAGATGTCATGACAAACCTAACATCAATAAGTAGTTCTCAAAACAGCTTAAAACTAGCGATGTATAAAAAGACAGAATTTTTTTTTTGGTTACAAGTTTCCAACAAATTACAACGCATTGAATTTCAAAGTTTAAAAGTAGCGTTGGCTTATAGTTTTGTCACTAAATGCACGCGAATGAATATCAGTTTTATCACGGATTTAAATCCGTGGTTTTATCAAGGAAAATGCTATTTTTAGCGATGTCGATAACCGAAAACTTCAGTGCGTAGTACACAAATAATTCTGACTTTCTTACTGCCGAGCAGTGGAATATATCCATATGTCGGACTGTTTTGGCGAGAAGATTTTCGCTAAATTATTGACATCAGTGTTAAACAACAGGTTTTTCGTAAACAAAATACCTCGAAATTAATAAGGATTACAAACCCGTAATGGAAAATCTAAATTTAGAATTATCTGACTTTTTTAAAGCTTTTTTTTCATATAATTTCCTTGGTGCAGGGGTAACGCTCGTTTATGGTGTGAGAGGTCTTGAGTTCAAATCCCAGTTGAGGCAACATTTTTTTAAGTGTCTTTTTTAAGGAAGTTGCCACGATATGCAAGGATAAAGTGTGGTTGTCATAAAAATTGAACATAAATGTTTCTTGCGGCAGCTCTAGACATATGCAAAATTCCGTATGTACATGTATCAAACTCAAACTGTTATAGTTAAACATCTAAATGCCGAACTACATGCGCTCAATATCTTACACAATGTCAAGAAGTATCTTTATTCTTTGCTAATTTGATGTTTCATTATTAATTATATATATATTATTTGCATTAAACTTATCTATGGTAAGGACAAAATGGATTCATCAAATATGAAATAAAATATGAAGGGGAGTGGTGGCATAGTGGTTAAGGTGTCTGCATCTCAACTCGGGGTTCATAGGTTCGAGCCCTAATCGGGTCATGACCATGTTTCTTCATATGACACCAGTAGTGGTATTTTCCAGGAATCAGACTCGAAAGTGATTAATATAGGTTGCAAGAACTTCTTTCGCAATCAAGCTTAAATAGATATGTTTTAACCAAATAAAATATTGATCATTTTATTCAACTGTGAAATAAGATAATATATAAATTAATAGTTTCTTAAACATCATTGCATATATTAGCGCAGTTAAAATCAGAATATAAAACAGCAGCTTACTGATAAATGACAGAATCCTTGTTAACACTAATGCTGAATGTAGCTGTTTTAATGCACTGGTCGTGCATTTACGAGTAAATGTTAATACATTAAAATAAGCCCTTACACTAACGAATAAAGTTAACCTGAAATCTTATGGAACTAAATTAATAAGCCTAAGCCACCAGTTCAGAGCCAGGGCCAGCCTGTACTCGCTTGAAGTCTGACCAAGTTTTTATACTGTAAGAAGCCTATTGTGTAGTAGTATACCTTGTTTATATTGAAAACACTTCAGTTTTGAACAGACTGTTTGAACTTCTTAACGGACAATTAAAAGGTGTGAAATAGGCTAGGCATTTTAGCCAAAAATAAGACCCAACCTCAAACAAATTCCTTCAGAAAAG